GATGGAGACGAGTGTGACTCAAGCAGTGACACAACGATTGGGCCGCAACTGATCAGAAAAGATCCGAGAGGCTGTTCATTAACAATGCGACGCAAAATTTGGAATTATTCAACCTGATTACGAACGAAAATAAAAAAAAAAGAGGTATACGTCTTTCCTATCTTTGGCTGCGATACTCACGTATGACTTGAAACGCAACTACATAGTAAAAATAAGACAAACGGAGTCAACACAACATGGAAATAGAGCTAGGGAAACGACGTGCATTGATGACGGTGCAGAGGTGTAACTAATATTCGTGCTTGATGGATGTCCGTGTTGCATCTGCAAAATTGAAGGCGCGATGGCACGAGGCGTGAACTCTCAATGCTCCGCTCTATATATGCTACCAATGCAGATAATGTCGTTCATATTCAGGAGAGCAGTTAAAAAACGAAGCCCAAATACGTATTTCTTATCTTGGCGGTGATAACACTCGATTTTTCTTTTCTCGTTTTTATGTTCGATTCTTTTTTAGGCTGTGTTCGTATACCTATATCGTATCGGTCCCACACAACCCGCGAGCCACGTGCTTTTAGCAAGCTTCGGAGCAATTGAACCCAACTTGAGCTTCTAAGAGTTTAACAGGTTGGAAAATGAATTAAAATGTCAGAAGTTCCTGTTTTATTTCCTTCCTTTCCCCCTGACTACCTTTCACAGATACACCTGTAGATCAAATGGATTGCATTTTGCAAAAAGGAACCACTAGCATTACAATGATGCTAAGATTGTGCAACTTCATCCTTTACAATAAAATTACGGAAATCATGAAAAACTATGAAATTTAGATGGTCATTTTGGTTTTAAATGTACAGTTTTTAGCGGGTAAAATAGAAACCATTAATGGATAATTGGGTTTTTCCTCCAAGACAAAAGAAGCTGCACAATCATAGCAACATTGCAATGCTAGTGGTTCCTTTTTGCAAAATGCAATCCAAATATTGGAGGAATGACGTAGCCATTAAGTTAGTATATTAGTGTATTTTTCGAGAGAAATACACTGGTGCATGCGTTCTCTGCTTACGGTCGACAATGAACTTGAGTCGTGGAGTTGAGCGTGCATCTGTGTGTCACTGGCGCAGCTGACAAAGCGAGCATGCTGCCCTTCCAGAGCGGAAGAGGAGGACACTCGGCACCTAGTTTTGTCCGTAACTTCCGTAAGTGGACATCATGAACGCAGGTCCAGCCGGTCCGCGGAGCGCGGATGCAAAAACTCCGCGTCACGCTTCATTGTCGCGAGTCGCTCGACACACGCTCCTGTTATGACAGTTGTTGCATCGCAAACACTCCGTCCTTCCCATCAGCTCCGGTTCAATTATCTATCACCGGCAAATTGCCGTTTGTTTGTGTTAAATAACGAAAAGTAAAAATGGGCCCGTTGTAGAGTGTGCGGGTCTGCAAATTGACTACCGATTCTAGTACATTGCTCCTACTGCATGTCCGTCAAAAGTTCCGGGATTCGGAACTTCTTTGTTTCAATTTCTTCCACTCCCTAACTGTCAGAAAATCCCGGATTTTTATTAGGTTTTTTCGAAAATTCCGAGAAAGTTCCGGAAAATGCAGAAGATCTAGATCATCTCAGGAATTTCAACAGTTCCAGGAAAAATTCAAGAAAATCTCAGAAGTTCCGAAATTTGGAACTAGTTCCAGGAAATAGAAGCACTGTTCCAAAAGCAAATTTCACGAAAAGAACGATGTTGCTATTGAAAAATCTAGAAAGCACCTCACGAACTCAAAAAAGCTGTGTTAGGGACCAAGGAATTCCTTAGAAATTAATTTCAGACGTTCTTGTTGCGTCTCTCCTCTCTCTCCCTTGTGAGGCAGTTGGCAGGAAACAATCAGCAGGGATGTTTGTTTACATGGTCACTAGGGCTTACGAACGCTAAGAGAGTACTCCCCTATTGAAGGCACTCGACTTAATTGTGACGAGTTGAGCTTTTCCGAAAACTTTCCACGACACGCGCGGTGGCAAATTTCCTTAAATTTTAAATGGTCTGCTTTTGTTCAATTTTTTTTAAACACGATTATAAATTATGATAAATATATATTTCTTAACGTTTTAGAGGTTTCTCTACCCTTTCAAGAACCAGCTACACACTGCAAAACCTAGGCGAGTCGATTTTCGAGTGCGTCTGCGAGAAAAGAAACAACCGACCACTGGCGTGATGTGCTTCGAGATATATCGATTGATCTGTCTTTTAAACCTACGGAAAAGGATCGATAAACGGGGTGTTCGCAACGAACACCTCAATAATCGATCTTTTACTATAGCTTCGAATGGGGAAATATCGATAATCGATCCGCCTCGCCACTGCAACCAACGCTACCGTGCTACGGAGGAGCGCCGTATGAGCCTTCAGGCGTTGCCAAATTTTCTTCAATAAAACACGGATTCCTTGGTACACTTATGAATATTTTTCTTCCAATTCTTCAGAGAATTTTGTTCGTATTTTGATCTGAAGTTCCTGAAAATATCAAGAAGAAATATTCATAATTTTTCTCAAAAATAAACATATTATTGGAGGAAATTTGGCAACTCTCGAATGTTTATACGGCGTTTTTCCTTAGAACAGCAGAACGGTGATCCGTCGCAAAAAGTGGCAACCACGACCGCACCACCGGGCAACAGTTGGGCTCCTGTTTATTGTGCGCCTTGTTTACAACCGGCGAGCACCGATAACGATTTAATTGCCTCCTTCTTTACTAATTCACGAATTAATCGACATTTCACGACGGACGGGCGGACGGGCGGGCGGGCACACAGGCGGTCCCTGGTGACGACTTTTTGACGGCAGGCGGAGCCGGTCAATGTATACTGCCGTGCTAAGGAAAAACATCGTATGAACCTTTAGACCTTGCCAAGTTTCCTTTGATAAAGCACGAGTTCCCCGGTAAACTTACGAATATTTTCCTTCCGATTTTTCCAATAATTTTGTTCGCAATTTCAACTTGAGTTCCTGCAAATTTCAGGGAAACACATTCATAACTTTCCTCAAAAATAAACATTTTATCGGAGGAAATTTGGCAACTCTTGAATGTTCATACAGCGTTTTTCCTCAGCACAGCAGTATAGGCCAAATTTGTCGCTCCTCTGGCATGGGAACGTATCCTGATTCCCGCATGAGCCCCAGAGAGCATGAATTTACATGTAAAATACAGGGCTCACGTGGACATCGAAATACGCCCAAATGTCAAAGGGACGACGACAAACGGGTGGACTCACGGACGCGGGCGGCCTCCTGTTCCAAATTTTAACCTCTCCGTTTCTATAGTAACTCCAAACGGAGACTAAACAAAAAAGTTCCAAGCACGAGGACAGTTTTTAAAAAAAAAAATGTGCGTGATGATATGACTATGAAAGTAAGTGTGTGACGCAGTCTACGAAAAAGGGAATTTTAGTCCACGTGGGCTTAATTTTCAGCTGAATGATTTCTGTCGACTGTCAGAGTCGCGTCAAAAAAATGCTCTGGTTTGGAAACGCGAGGAATATTGTACAAATCGTTGTTTCCTCAAAAAAGAAAGTAACTCCATTTCAGTGTTGCCAAATTTCCCCTTGCAGATTACATATATTAACCGAGGGAATCTTGGGCATCCCTATCCGAAAATTTTACTGATTTTCCCATATATTTCATGCAAAAATCAGAAAAATGTTGGATAAAAATTCCACAGGTGTAGTTGTGTAAAATTATTGAATGCCTGAGTTAATTTGGCAACCTTGGAATGGAGTTACGTTCCTTCGTTCAGGAAACGACGAAATGTAACCCAAACGATACCTCACGATGAAACAACCATCCAGTGAAAGTCTCAGATTGAGTTCAAAGTTTGTTCTGGTGATACAGCGTTGTAAAGTTCACATTTTCTACAATTGCATCACAAAACCTCCCGAAAAACTTTCGTGGTCGTTGAATATTTTCACCATTGAATCGGTGATTGAGCCAGCTTCCCAAGCGCAGCGATTTACGTAGTTGTGAAAATGGTTCCCAGAATGATTTACGTAGATTACGTAGTTGTGAAAATGGTTCCCAGAAATGTTCCCAGATGCTTGATAGAGTTAGTTAAAGATTTAAATACTAACACGAGGACCCAAATTATTACCGCTGAAGGTCTCTCGGATGTTATCGTCATAAATAAGGGAGTAAGACAGGGTGATTCGCTGAGCGCATTTCTCTTCAACTTGGTGATGGACAAACAAATTCGCGCCGTGCGACCAAGGCGAGAATATACGCTTAGGAACAGAAATATTAATATCATTTGTTATGCTGACGATGCTGTGCTCATAGCAGATTCGGAAGATGAACTGCAAAGAATCTTGCATACATTTAATATGACAGCCAAGAAGTACAATATGAAAGTATCCGCCGCTAAGACAAAAAGTATGGTAGTCAGTAGAAACCCTATACGATGCAAGTTGGAAGTAGATGGTAAAATGATCGAACAAGCGATGGAGTTTAAATATCTTGGAGCATTGCTGACAAATGCAAAGGACTTAAGAACCGAAGTGCAAGACCAGGCACTCAAGGCGGCGAGAGTTGCCGGATGCCTCAACGAGATGGTGTGGCGCAACAAATACATGGCCCGAGAAAGTAAAGTCAGAGTCTATAAAACAATCGTTAGACCAGTGTTAACATTTGCCGCCGAGACCAGGGCTGAGACAAAGCGCACCAAACAACAATTCCGCACCGTTGAAATGAAGGTCTTAAGAAAAATAGCGGGCTTTACACTTTGGGATCATCAGACTAACGAGTCCATCAGGGATGCTTGTAATGTGCAAGATGTATAGCCAAGTGGACTAGGATGAGGAGAAAGATGTGGTCGGAGCACGTTGACAGAATGGATGAAAAGAGACTGGCAAAAGTTTGTATGACTGGACAACCCATAGGGAAAAGACTGCCTGGACGACCGCCTAAGAGATGGGCACAAAGCTGGCTCTCTTCTCCTGAAGATGATTGAATGTTCCTGTTGCTATTTTGTTTTATTGACTTGACGAATCTTTACAGATAATTATTATATTTTTAATATTTTGTGCTCGGCAATCGAAGGCTTGACAAACAGGGCCATGCCCTAGTCGTTAGTAGAAGAAGAAGAAGAAGAAGTGAAAATGGTCGCGACTCACCATGACCTTTAAAACATTCACAAGAAATTCTGACTGAACGAAAACCCTTTCTTTCAGGTAGGAACTCATCGATTTAGAGAGGGTGAGATTTTGGCGTAAAATCTGAAGAACTGGGAGAGTGCAAGCAAGAGTTCATAGCGCTGGGTTACGAGAGGCATTTCAAGTTTCCCAGTATTCCCTGACTGTGGCAATCCTGTTCAGGCAAAATGTGCAGTTCGAAACGTCAAATTCATTCTAGAAAGCAAATATAACTAAACGATTCTCCCCTGACATTTTTGTCATTGGAAATGACCAAAATTTCACCTGGAAACTGTATTTCCTGACTTTTCAAAATTTCCTGAAATTTCCCGGTATTCCCTGACCGTGGCAACCTTGTTGCCTCACTGGAAAAAAAAACAAGCAGTGAACTCCAACACAATGTGTTGATAAGGCGCGTCATTAACTCGCACATATCAACCCCTTTAGTTTTCATTTACAGAGATTTCAAAATAGGCAAACAGCATAAAAAGAGAATTCACGATCCAACANAATTCGCAACTTCACCACGTAATATAAAAAAACCTGGGCCATATTTTGAAAATCTGAAAAGAGTTGGCTTATCTAGAGACAATTGTCCGTCGATAGCCGAAAAAATCATGAAAATCGGCCCGGTAGAACGCTGGAACTAAGCGTCACCAGTTTCGCAAAATTAGGAGGTCTCGGAGCTTATAGTATAGATTTCCAGTTTTCACAGTTTCCAGTTGACATTTTTGTCATTTCCAATTACAAACATGTCGGGGGAGAATCGTTTAGTTACATTTGCTTTCTAAAATAATTCAACTTGCGGCCGACCGCGAACCCGGGTTTGTTCAAATCTGGAGCAAGCGTTAACCCCCACGAGACCTGCCGAAAAACCACGGTTTTATGCATATTTTCACCATGGAATCGGTAATTGAGACAGCTTTCCCGGCAACGCACCGACGGAATTGGGCCCGGGAAAGGGCACACGCACTGGCGCAGCGCGACGGAGCGGAAACTGGCGCGCGCGATCACACCACACTCGCGCCGATCACGTGACGACAAACGCCCGGCACCGGCAAGCCACTCGCGCTCACGACTGACGAACTGGCCGGGCGCTCGAGGCTTGATTAGAGCACCCATTTTCGCATTAGCATAGTCGACGAAGACGGGGTCCCAAACCCGCTGGTCGACTTGATTCGATAGGTCGAGGATAGAGTCGTCTTGAGCAACTACGACAGAAATACTGGCAATGGGTCAGTCGCGCTGGTCACAGAATTGTGTTAAAATGATAAGATCTGTCGAAACAGCAACTTTCTAAGTTGAATATAAATCGAGATAAGTTTAAAAGTTGGGTTTTTGACGTCATCCACCGCGATAGTGACACCCTTGGTTTCTTCCACCTTGCTTCCATTCGGGTTTCAAGTTGTATAACCGGTGCGAATATGCGTCACGCTGACTGATGAAAGCAAGTTGGAGTCGGTGTGGCGCACATTCGCACTGCTCAACGTGAAACTCGGATGAGAGCAAGGTGGAAGAAACCAAGGGTGTCACTATCGCGGTGGATGAGGTCAAAAACCCGACTTTACAAAAGGCGATATCTCGGTGAATATATGAAACGTAAAAACTTGTTGTGCGGGCATATTATATTCTTTGAAGCTAATCTACAAGAATGAAGCATTAAAACACGATTTTGTGACCAAAGCAACTCTGACCCAATTGATAGGTTGAGCAGCAATTAGGGCCGGATCTAGGGGATGGCCACATGGGCCGCGGCCAAAGATGGCGGCAAATGTTGTAATTTTTTTAAATATAGGTATAAAAGAAATCGGATTCAGAAAAAAAATTCAAGACGAGAAAAGGTGACAAAATCTCTCATTTCCTGAGAGTATAGTAATTTCTAATTTGTTCGTCTTTCGGTGATACAAGAGACAGCACCTTTAATTAGTCGAAGTAAGAGAGAAACCAAACACGCAATTTGGCCTGGAGCGGCGCGGCGCAGAGGGCAATGATGACGAGGACTTGAGATGAAAAGGAGAAACCCTCGGAGCGGCGGTCGGCATGTAACACATATCAGTGCCTACAAGAGTACATGCATTGCATCAACCACGGTGCAGTCATTGCGGTCAGCGTGAAACGGATAGCGCCTACAAGAATGCAGGAATACTTCACGCATTGCGTCAAACACAGTGCGGTCAGCGTGAAACGCACAGCGCCTACAAGACTCCGTGAATACTTCACACATTGCGTCGAACACAGTGTGGTCACCGCGGCGCGGCGGCGGAAGTTAAAATTATTAAATCACATTAATGTTCGTTCTTTCATAATTTTTTCGTTCATTTCTTTAAATGAAAGGCCTCGTTCACACAGAGATAGGTATACGGAACTTAACTTTTAGGCAAAGTTCTGCGAATTTTTGCTAGTAGTGTTGACAGGGTTTGACAGAATGAACGCGTCTAATGCATCCCTCTCCCTTCGGCACGTTCACTTGATGGTTTTTATTGATACATCAAAACGAATGATAAGGTGGCGGTAAAATACAGGCGGCCCATGGGCGGCAAGTTGGTAAATCCGGCCCTGGCAGCAATCGGTCCGCAGCGGGAATACTTGCGTTTTGATAAGTCGAGGATCGGTCCGTCCGGAGCAGGTGTCGATCATTAGGGGCCGTCCAAAAATGACGTCAGAATCCTAGGAGGAAGAGCGGGAGGGGAGCTGTGAAGGTGGAGGGGGAGTCAAAGGGTGCTGACATGGACCTGTAAAGGGAGACAAACCTGACGACAGGGTTCCAGTATCAATGAATGCTCCAAAACTGAGCAAGAGCAGCTTAGCCCTATGATATTTTTCGGAGGAGTCCGGAGGTGCCTGACAGGTATACCCAAGAAAACCAGAAAAAATACTTGAAACCACTCGAAGGAGGGACCCTCAAAGAATTGGGTCGTTCGATGCAGTTTTTTCAAATAGCGGGAATTCTTGGACAAAACAGGACGCAAAATTCTCGAATAGATAGCTATTGATGCTCGGAGGATGGCTTTTGGCCTACCGCGAAAATTGAAGGCGAGCGTCAGCGAGCATGTGACGTTCGATTCATGACAAGACCAACGCGACAAGAAAGCACTACACATGCAGATTCTCCTTTGGAGGAAATTTCAATCGTATCGAATTCGATGTAAAAATAAACAAAAAACTTTTTAAATACGAACAATGGAAATAAGTCGATCACAATCGATACCTTTCCGTGACGTCAATACGAAAGAGTCCGTCCACCGAGGAAAGGTCTGATTCTGGACCACGACGAGCACTGAGGCTGGTGAGGGAGAGAGTGATCTCCAGCAATCGGAGACCTTTCACCTTCCCGCGATGCGCGCCCAGGATTGCCGCATTTCTAGGCGATTATGAGAATTTCTCATAGGTACTAGGTATAGCAATGTAAGGTGGGGGCTTGGCTAGTATCAGTGGCGTTTCTTGAAGGATGGTAACACTGTTTTACCTACATGAATGCGTATGTAAAATCATCGATTCTTGGTGAGGCAGGCCGCAAGCTACCTCACCTGAAGTCGATATTTTTGATGGATTTAAATAGAGGAAAAACAGTATTGCTAGTTTTTAAAATCGCTACTGGCTAGTATCATGGGCATAATTTTCTGAAGACTCGCGGTGATGCTCTTTTTTTCTTTCGCAAATTAGATGGCTAACATTCCATTCAAAATCCACAGTCACTGGATAGGATTTGTTTTCCTTGAACATCGGAGAATAAAAGCATATCCAGACTATAGGATCTTCAAATTCTAGGGATTAAGGCGTTTTAAGGGAATTTGATGACGACGTCAGCATAATAATCATAGAATATTATTATAGTAATATAAATCAGGGCAGGTGAAAAGCCACTTTCTTTTCATTATCGAGTGATGCCACATACCTACACCGGAGTTCGAATAGTTGCGATCCTTCTTTGCGTGATTTCTTCATTTAACGATGAGAGTATGATACTCGCATTCACAGACGTCCGTCTTTTGAGACAAGCGAAAAGCCAAGATTGTCCTTCATTTTTGAGTGATACCACATACCTACACTGGAGTTCGAAAAGTTGCTCGCTTAATTTCCTCATTTAACGATGCGAGCACAATACCTACTTGCATTCATTTGCCATGCCCTGGTTTCATGACAGAGTGAACAATTACGAGATTTTAATCTCAATATATCGAGAACTACGCGATTGGTCCGACGGATTCGTAATATCATAAGAAATTGAGATTTTCATCTCAATATCGCGATAAATAGGAAATAGTTTCGGCGATTTTGTAAAAAAAGTGAGCTATTGCGGGGCAATCACCTCAATATCTCGATAAATACCTACAGGCAAGTTCACAACATCATGTATCGGTTCAATCGAAGCTCGCGGAGCAACATACATGTACTTATGCTTTTCGAATGGATAACTATTTAATCGCGATCCTAGTCGTAAGTAGTGTGACGCGCTTTGCGATGGTTCACTTGATCTGTCATTTAAACCTGTGGAAAAAGATCGCTAAGCAGGGCGTTTGGAACGAACGCCTTCGATTCTTTTCCGCATCTTCAAATGGGGAGTTATCGATCATTCTCTCCTCACGACTAGATCCTAGGTTCGCTTGTTGTCCTTCTATGTCGTGAAACTGAACAAATACTTTATTGCAATATCTCTATATCATGGATCGTACATGCGTAAAACAAGCGCAATTGCAGTACCTAGTTCAAAAATTGTCAATAAAACGAGAAAGTTCGGGAACTTACGACAACCTATCTTCAATTCATCCAAAAACCGATGAGTTTTTACTGCTCTTTGATTCGACGTTTTTCTTAACTACCAGGAACTTATGTCACCTTCTTTAAAACTAAAGCGTGACAAGAAACAGTTGATAAGAACTAGAGCTACACTTCCTACTGATGTTTCAACCGTTATTGAACTCATTAGCGGGATGAATTAAGGACAAAAATTAATTTGGCTCTTTCGATGAGACAGCCCGGATGAAAATAAGTCAACGGCGACAAATCGACGAAGCAGAATAAATTAAGAAAACACCCAAGGACAGTGCGAGATCGACGAATAAATGCAAGTGGAACAAACACTGCGAACAGTGGCCTGGCATTGTTAAACGATCGGAGTGCCATGCTGGGTGCTAGTAACGAACAGCCTCTCGCAGCCTAATGAGAATCCTTAGAAATTCACCGACAGAAAAGAATCCAATTCAGGCCGGTGCCCCAGCTTTCGTCGTCCGTATCTTACTCTATGGTATAAAATCATAAGACTAACGCGTAACGCCTGAGGCAAAAAACAGTGAGTTGATTAAATACTCGAAGCTTCCTTTTTCATGCAACAACGACATACCGATGCAAAAGTGGCACATTTTGTTGTCACAAACAGAAAAAGATGAAGGCGCTACGGCTTTTCAATAGCTAGGTCGGAATGCAACTATTCGTGCTTTCTGGATGTCCGTGTTGCATACATAAAAAATTGAAGGCGTTTTGGCTTTCTTAAGCTTAACGTATTGCTACGGTTGTAAGGTTGTTGTTACGGTAGTTGGATTCTCTACATTGCATTTGCAATCGCGTTTACTTTTAGATTCTCGAAATTCGGATGAGTCGCGAGGCACCATGGGAGCGTTGCCAAATGGAGAAAATTTACACACATCAACCGCTGCAAACTTTTCCATGAGGGCATTGCGGATGTCAATCCTACGAAACGGGACCGATTATTTCGGTGATTTGCAGTTCGTGCTCAGAGGTTTTGGTGATCAAAATTACCTAGCCCATATTGAAAAACCATGGCAAAAAAAAACAAGCAGTGAACTCCAACACAATGTGTTGATAAGGCGCGTCATTAACTCGCACATATCAACCCCTTTAGTTTTCATTTACAGAGATTTCAAAATAGGCAAACAGCATAAAAAGAGAATTCACGATCCAACACTGCGAGGTCAAAGACGCACCTTGACGAGACCNCTGGGTGCTAGTAACGAACAGCCTCTCGCAGCCTAATGAGAATCCTTAGAAATTCATCGACAGAAAAGAATCCAATTCAGGCCGGTGCCCCAGCTTTCGTCGTCCGTATCTTACTCTGTGATATAAAATCATAAGACGAACGCGTAACGCCTGAGGCCCGAAGCAGTGAGTTGATAAAATACTCAAAGCGCCCTTTTTCATGCAACAACGACATACCGATGCGATAAGTAACATATTTTGTTATCACAAGCAGAAAAAGTGGAAGGCGCTACAGATTTTCAATGGCTAGGTCGGAATGCAACTATTCGTGCTTTCTGGATGTCCGTGTTGCATACATAAAAAATTGAAGGCGTTTTGGATTTCTTGAGCACGACGTATTGCTACGGTTGTAAGGTTGTTGTTGCGGTAGGTGGATTTTCTATATTGCAATTGCAATCGTGTTTACTTTTAAATCCTCGAAATTCGGATGAGTCGCGTGGCACCATGGGAGCGTTGCCAAATGGGGAAAATTTACACAAATCAACTGCTGCAAACATTTCCATGAGGGCATTGCAGATGTCAATCCTACGAAACGGGACCGATGATTTCGGTGATTTGCAGTTCGTGCTCAGAAGTTATGGTGATCAGAATTACCTAACCCATATGAAAAACCATGCCAAAAAAAATGGACTGTCGAGGATTTATATGTTTAAAATATCTAAAAAGTTAGAGAATTTTGAAATCCAAGAAAACTTGTCTCAAACAGCGATGATCAAGGTAGGTCGTGATTCCGATCGTTTTCGCGGTTAACGATCCTGCAATTTGCACTACTTGGCAACGCTGCCACATGTGGAAGATAGTAAATAAATTATAGGATACGATTGTCCCTAAGTTTCAAGTTAATGAAATGAATAGATTCAGAAGAAGGTCAAGGATGCACTTGCTGGTAAAGTCAGGCTAGTGATTGCTGCAGAAAAAGTCTCCATTTTGTGTAAATATTTATTATTATGATATTAACTAACACATTTTTTTTTTTCAATTTGATCGAATAATCAAACCATACCTTCGTGCAATGACAAAGTTTGAATGCAGTGAGTGACACATTTTCTTATCGTGAGCGAAAAATTAACTGCGGCTCTTTCAATGGGTAGGTCTGGATGCAACTATTCGTGTTCTTGGGATATACGTGTTGCATACACAAAAAATTGCGGGCGCTGTGGTGTTCTTAAGCACAATAACACAAAGAATGATAGCAGTTGTTGGTCCTTAGGTAAGGGTTTTCTGTGTTGCACTTACGATTGTGTCTGACATTAAATTTTCAAAATTCAGACGAGTCGTGTAGCATATGGAAGCGTGGTGCCAATTGTGGAGATAATATCAGTACTAATTTGCGGTATTAACGTTCCCAAAGCATCTGTGGAAATGCTGAAAGAGGGAAAAGTGCACCATTTAGCAACGCTGCCGGGATGAAACACAGCTTAGGAATTCGAACTCCGAGGCTTTCATGGTAGTAGGAGTGCAAATTGCAACATCGAAAAATTTTGAGAACTTTGTAACAACCATACACAGTCATATGTTGTGCTTAATAAATTAAGAGTGCCTGCAATTTTTGTGTATGCAACAAGGATATCCTGAGAATATGAATAGTTGCATCCAGACTTAGCCGTTGAAAGAGCCCGAGTGCTTTCACTTTTTTCCACTTGTGATGACAAAATGTGTCACTTTTTGCATTCATACAATGTTGTTGCAAGAAAACAGGGTGGTTTGAGAATTTAATCAATTGAGGAAAGACAAAGGTAGGTAAGTAAAGTATAGATCCATACATAAAATGGTGACTAATACCGCCATCATGGGTCAGCGGCAAACAGTTTTTGCAGTGTTGTAGAATGGTTTTGTTGGGCGTGAAACTTTGCTAAAAAACCAAAAAGCCTAAGCTACTACCTAGGCATACTTTGCGTACTGTTCCCTCCAGATTTCATGAAAAACAAAATATGTCACATCCAAAAGGAAAGAGGAGTATGCTTCAAAAGAACAACAAAATCATGGAAGAAAAGATGGACATCTTCTTGTCCACATTGCATGACTAAAAAAAATAGGAACGGCTCATTGTTCTACTAACAATGTGGGACCGGCATCTCACTGACTGACAGTAACGATATGTTTCCTTTGAAATGTTCTAGAAATCCACAGAAATGGGTGAAAATTTCAAGTAGGTATGAGCTTGTGAGCATCTTGATACAAAATAAGTAAAAAATATATGCTGTTTGAACTGCAAGTTTGCGTAAATTTAAGGCATCATGAAGCAAAGAGAGTCAAGTTTAATATGCTTCAAGATGTCTTAAATGGGTTACCCAAAATAAAAAAAAATTGCTGAAGAATAAAAGGCAGCAATTGGCTGATTTACACTAACAAATGCCTTTCAAAAGTTAAAAATATCCCAATCACTCATCATTTTCACCAAACAATATTGGCTACTCATCAAATGTAATAGTGTCTCCTAAGATCATGGGACCAAACACATTGTAAGAAGTTCAATGGTAGAAACCAGATTCTGCCATCTACTTGTCATTAAAGTGTTAATGACTCGAGGGATTTGTTGGACAAAATCATCAGTGAATTTATCATAAGCAAAGAAAGTTATCTTGCGCCTGACAGATATTGAAACTGGACATATTGCTGACAATGGTCATCTCAAGGGGGGGAAAAAGTCAAGTCCTGAATCAATGATAGCAAGTTCAAGGTTCAACAGAGTGTAGGAGCAATTACAAAAGAAATTAAAGCTCCGACAATCAATTTCTGGGACCAAATTGAACAGTTGGTAGCGCAGACAAACCGTGTTCCGTTCTAAGTTTTGGGGCACAACTGATTGAAGTTTACAGAAGATACGTGGCCTGGGAATGAGAGGTAAGTGTAATATTTGATTTTCCGGAAAGTCACATTGTTGAAGATCCCTAGAATCCCATGACAGCCGGAAAACTACATTGTTATCCGTCAAGATGCCGATAAGGATATGCTCACATAACCTAAAATTTCCGATGGGAGTGGTAGAGGCATTTTAGAAGAGTACATAATGATGGTTGCTGCATTAATCTAACTTACCAAAAATTAAAAAACTAGTGATGGGTAATCCAATTGCAAAACTGATCACAAATTTCCGGAAAACAACGCGAAATATTTGAAAAACTCTGCGTACAACAATAGTCCAACCGTGCACTTTCTGACTGACTGAAAGAGAGAGAGAGAGATCATACTTGGATCTATCTCGTGACTACTGGCGCGTCACGCGTCAGCTGACAGAGCGATTGCTGATTGGCTGAGAAATTTATCCCAGCAATGCCGGCACTACACAATAATTATTTTTCGTACTGAAAATTAACATGGGTCATGAAAAAGCATATAAATTTCACGCATGGAGAAACATGATGGACCAAATTTGAAATACCGCATTCTGAATTGGACAAAAGTTGCCGCTTATCAAGAAACTCAAAAACAAATTGAATATAAATACATTATTTCTTTTGAAATTTGGCACTCAGGTTCCAGACTATGACGCACAATTGCGCCATCGACCTTTCGCGCTACGCCATTGGTCCCCTTTCTATACGCTGCACTAGCGCAGCTCTTGGCTTTGTTATTATTGTTTTGTTTTGCGCAAAAATGCACTTTCAAATCGCGCTAAAATTACTTTCTTTGTGAAATCCGAATTCATGCAATCTATCTGCATATCGCTACTATCCTCAATGTGCTTCCAATTAGTCCACTGCGCCTGCTAAAGGTGGGTAAAAACTGTACTTTCAACTCTTCCTACGTAATTTTCTGACTGGGACTCGTGTCGACCATTGCCCTCAGACCCGGGAAATCCACCTTGTTTACGTATCATTTGCCGGTGGGTTTCAGATTTCTTTCATTTTTCTGTCTTTTAATGGTTCATTATCATTATCTATAACTATTTTCTATTCCATGGAGGGAAATTCTGCTTCTTCAGTTCACATAGAACTACGTCAATCACATCTGGTTCTGATAGTGCCCCTGGAAGTCTCCTCATACTTGGCATCTTTCTAGCTACATTATCGGGGTTAATGACTCTGCACGTTACACTTTGATACCTTGGACCCATATTTATTGAAATGCTTCACTTATTTCTAACAAGACTGCTCAGTACCCTACATTGATTTTAGAAGGGTGCAGTATACGGAAGAGCGAGTCTCAGTTTGTAGGTCAACAGCAGTAACAGTACATCGTAGCTTTAAGTAGTCTTACAATTTCTAGCTATAGACTGCTTCCCATAGGTGAGTCTTGCAGTTTTTGTTTAGATTTATATTAGTTTTTAACTGATTTACTCAATATTGCATTTTAAAAAATCCGGGGGGAAACGGCTTAGGAAGCGACTAAATGAAAGGAGACATTTTGCCTAGAATTCCTGGCATTTTCCATCAAAATAAGAGCTAAGAAATGCCCCTATCCATCACTTGATCAGAGTATGAAGCACTCATCATCATCAGATTATCTCTGACACCTCAGCACCTCTGCATGTTTTGACTTTTTAAGCAAGGAAAGAACGTTAGCCCCTATGCCCAAGCCTACTGGATCATTCTTAACCAAATAAAATTGCTAATTTTAGAGAAATGACGGCAGTATTTCTCTTGGAAAAAAGTTGCACTTGATAAAGAGTTTGATTATTGTATGGAAGGGAACTTTTCTTTAAGAAGAGGTAGAAGAATCCTGCTTTTATTTATTTGAATTTTGCAATTGTTTTGGTTGAGAATGATTCCTTAGGCTCATGCGCAGAGGCCGTCCTTTTTTTTTGCTTTGCAAGTCAAAATCTGCTGTCGATTGACCCAATTAATGTGGTGTTTTGCTTCTCGGTTCAACCATACTGCAAACCTGAAACATATCACCTGTAGTATAACATACAAAATAATTATTTTAATTTTCCTCTAGGTATGCTGTATTGTAGAATTTTGTTTGATGTACTGTTCCAGTTATTTTTTCTTTAAGGTAATTCCTGAACCATTCTTTAAGACCTGCAATTCATCAAATATTGAAGAACTAATTTTAAAATATTAAATAGAAAGCTAGGCACTTAACTGAAAAGCTTCGCAGGCATTTTACAGTAGCAAATAATTGCTTTTGCTTGCTTTTTCTACTTCTGATCAATAACCGGTTATTTCTCTTCTCAATTTTCAGGGTAGAGCATGGCTCCTGCAACTAGGTCTCATCCAGGGGGTGAGGATGGAATGGAAGGGCCGAAGGAGGATATGGAATGTGAGAAGGAAAAAGTAAGCCCCCAAAAGAAAAACGTCCAGGACAAGAAAACGGATGCCCAAGAAAAAGAAGTGAAACTAATTGCTCCTTACAAAAGTAAGTCCAACTTCTCTCCTTCAGTGACAAGTTTTACTGGAAACTGGAAATCTAAAGAGAAAAGTATGAACAATCTTACACAGTATGAAAAACAATGTCTTATACGTTAAGGGTTGCCACAGTCAGGAAAAACCAAAAAATGTCAAAGAAAATGATGATAATGACAGGGAAAAATTGTTATGCCACCTTTAATTGCTTTCTAGAATGGGTTTGATGTCTGGAACAACAAACTTTGTCTGAAAACTATTTTTAATATGTCTTTTGAACCATCTGGCTTATCTTCAACTGTCAGGAAATTCAACCAAAAGATGTCAGGGAATTTCATTCTTTCTAAAGTCTGTGGCAACCTTGACATTTTTCAATAGCTCATAATTCTCTCGTCCACAAAAAAATCTCTGTCGCTGTCAGAACACCTTAAAAGAGAATCCTATGCGTGAGTGAGCTTTCTCTCTTCATTTAACTTTGTTATTAGTTCCTCACTGCCAAAGGTTATTTTATGCTAAGTGGTACAGCTTTGAAAAGTTGATCCTTGTAGAATCTGATAAAATTTGGCATACCTGGTTTAATTCAAAGCCAAGTCAAAATCCAAAATTCCATGTACTTCGGACCTCTCATTAGGGTTTTATCAGTCGCTGGAGGTTAGCAGAAGCCAACTCTGTTTGATTGAAGTCACCACTGGATCAGTATGTAACTTGAGAACGGTTACTTAATTGGAGAACAGAAAAAAAGATAGTCAAGCCGTAGTTAAGATAGCCCTGAGTAAGAGATTTTCAGACATGTGCAACAAGATTAGATGTGCGCAAAAAATTATGGGGCAAATTTTAATTTTGTAAATGGTATCTTTAAAAATTAGACATTTTAAGTAATGCTATTGAAAATTCACATAGGGTTGCTATTTCAGTCACGTAGGTTTGTGCCTAATTTCTGACTGGAGATGAGCTGGATTCATAAGTTATGGTGTGTACAAAATTGTCATTTTCTGCACAGAATTTTGATAGCTCACTTCAGTGTCCACTGNACACACCATGATAATAAACCGAGTGGGAGATATTACTTTGATAGTAGCCATAATGATCTTAATAAATTCTTCTTCATGAATATTTTTATCAATAGAATATTTAAATTCTAGAACTAAATGAATAACACTTATAACAGTAAGTATATTCTCTAAAAGAGCACAAATTCCTTTTTCATCTTGACTAACAGAAGCTATGGCAGCTCCCACCCCAGTATCAGCCCTTGTTCATTCTTCAACATTAGTTACAGCAGGTGTCTATTTAATGATTCGGTTTAAATCAGTTATAATAGCATCAGGAATAAACAACATTGTTTTAACAGTAGCCATGATCACATTAAGAATAGCCAGGATAAATTCACTGCTAGAAATAGATATAAAAAAATTAGTAGCTTTATCTACTTTAAGCCACGAAGTTTCACTCACGTAGGTTTGTGCCTAATTTCTGACTGGAGATGAGTTGGATTCATAAGTTATGGTGTGTACAAAATTGTCATTTTCTGCACAGAATTTTGATAGCTCACTTCAGTGTCCACTGAAATGCTAGTTCCAAGAAGTCTAGCAACAGGGCTTGCGGTTGAGAAAATGGTTTTGCTGGTTTAATTTCTTCTCAGGCAGAGAAGCATGTGGTGTCAGATGAGCAGATGCTGTTATTCTGTATTTTGTTTTTCCCCAATAATTGTTTACTTTGTTTTTACAGGGAGTGATAAAATCAAGGAAGCTCTCTTGAGCAGAATCAAAGTTCTGGATGATTATTTTGATCTTCTGGGCAAAGTAGGTGAAGGAACATTCAGCACTGTCCATTTAGCTGCTCTGAAAAGAGATCCATCTAGAATGTTTGCTGTGAAGCATCTTGTTCCAACTTGTCATCCAACAAGGATCATCCGAGAGCTTCAATGTCTGCAGACAATAGGGTGAGTATTTTTATCAAAAAATTACGAACATCTTTTCAATTGTATGCACATATTGTGTCCAACAAAAAATCCATGCTCCATAGGTTAGGTGATTTGCTTCAAATAGCACCTATTTATATCAGATTCGTTTTACTGGTAATTATACTGCCTCGTTCTCAGGGTTTACTTAAATTGGTCAAGGAATTCAGGGCAACCTGGAAACGTCAGAGAATTTTGTGAATTTTGTGTCGGCTCAGTAATTTTAGCTGGTGCCATTCAAAAGAGCGTGAACAACTTCAGAGTGCCTCTATCTTCAATTTGAATTAATCTAGAAGTGGAGATTATGTCCATAGCTAAGCAAAAGTCAGCGTAAAGAAAAGAAAAAAATTTAAGTGGAGGTTTTGATTTAAAGAAAGTAAAAAATCAGGGAATCAATAAATAGAGTAATCATGGAAACCTTAATGGTTTCTTCACCCATCCTCCTCCTTTTCAATCACACAGGGTGTCTGAAAACAGGGAATGTGCGGGACTTAATTAAAGCTGAGAAAAATGAAGGAATGTCAGAGAAAAGAGTAAAAACTCTTGTATGTAATTCAAATTACAAACAGGTACGCAGTAAGCATGAAAACATCTGATCGATAGACCTCTTTATTAAATTATTTTATGCGAAGAAAGTAGCTGTAAGGCCATGTGCAGCAGTGTGTTCTGGGATGGAGTGAGTTTTGAGTTTTAAATATCCTTTTCCACTGTTTTAGCTTTTGAATACAAGTATGTATGGCAATTTTTGCACTTTTAGAAGTCCAGGAACTACTTATGAAAAGGGGGAAGTAAGGAAATTTCAAGATAAAAAAATTGTGTTGTGTTGAAAAGCCAAGGAATTTGAAGATCCTAAAATTTTGGCTACCCTTGTGCTAGCCCTTCTCCCTCTGCATGATCTGATCTGCTCTTTACAAAATTTCTCAAATAATTTTTAAGTTTAATTCATTACTTTTATCCCCTTCGGTTTTTACAGTGGTCAAGATAATGTGATTGGTGTAAATGTATGCCTCCGGTCTGAAGACTGTGTAGTTTTCGTGATGCCTTATCTCCCTCATCAAAAATTCTCTGTAAGTTTCCATCAATTTCTCTCTTTTCAATTTATAGCTATTGCGAAAACAGGCGGAGGTTTAAAATTCCTCACATCAGGAACTCTCTTTTTGAGTTCTACCTAGGTTTAAGTGATTTCAACCAAGATATGTTTACTCTTATTCTCATTAAGTAGTAGGTCAGTTGCGCTGGCCGCAGAATTGCTTTTTTGTTGATCACAAATTCTAAATTAGCGAAACATATCAAAACACGTCCAACGCTTAATTTCTACGTCCAATATCAATAGAGGTATCGCCTTTCAACAATCATGGCTGAAGACATCATCCACCGCGGTAGTGAATATTGTGGTTCTATTCCGGTTTCAAGTGAAGCAATCAGTGCAAATTTGTTTATCACTGACCGATGAACGAAAGGTGAAAGAAACCATGGTATACACCTCCACTGTACATAACGTAATAAAGTTTTTTTTTTTTTTTTGGAAGGCTGATTTTTCTGTTAATATTGATTGTAGGAAATAAATGTTCAGACAGTTCTTATCACCTCCTGCTAATCTATCAACTTAAACCATCAAAACTTAAAATTAAAATTTAGGATTCCCTTTGAAGAATTTTTCGGTGGCAAAAGTCCACGAATTTGCAGTTAAAAATCTGGTTTATTTCCCTGTTATTTCTCTCATCCATTCCAAGGTTTTAATTTATTTTGCTCTCCTATTACAGAGTTACGTGTTCAAAATGGACCCTGCGGAAGTTCAGTTATATATGAAGCACCTGCTGATAGCTTTGAAGAGGGTGCATTCTTTTGGCATCATCCATCGAGATGTCAAACCCAGTAACTTTTTATACAATAGAGATACCAAACAGTAAGTTCTTTACATAATTTCCTCTCTCTCTCTTTCTCTCTTGTAAACGAAGGTTCATGTCGCAAAGATAATCTTTCTCATCGGAATAATACGTTCCTTAGTTCCTGAATAAATCCTCTAAACCAAGAAAAAATATTCCAGACGCTGCAAAATAGTAGCGCAGCTGCTAAAACTTAACCAATCATTTTAAGTCGAGTATGTGAGCATTGCATCGTGTTTCAATTTCTGATTTTTTATGAACCCTTCAATGGAAAGATACATATTTTATTGAAATCTGTCAAAAAGTCATGTGACAATAAACATAAAAGAAAGTTTGAATCAGCAATGAAGAAAGTGTTTCTAGATTCATCGTAGTAGAAGCTGTAATGTGGATTCTGAATTTTTCCTCATGGTTTCTTCTTTCCTTTTATTTAGGTTTTTACTGATCGATTTTGGCTTAGCGCAACCTGTGGATGAACTTGCGCCAAAAAACAATGTGAAAACTGATAAGAAGAGGAAACGTTGTGATTTGAATGAGGTGAGTTTGCCTGGTGGCTCTAAGACTTTTTTTCATGAAACGTATCATCAAAAGTATTCTCAATCCTTGTGGGAATAGGCAAAAATAGAAACTGAACCCATTTTGTTTAATTTCTTTCATCAATTATATTATTTTAGAAACTTTAAGGGAAAACTTTGTTTGCTCCTTTCCACCTTACCTTCTCTCCTATCTGATGGTAAGTCTGGATGTTTGAAGTTAGCATGCCAAATTTGTCTCAATACTAACAGCAAGTTCACAAAGTTTCATAAAAAACAGTGATATTTATGAAAATTCCATGTTATGTCACACTGTATCCTGAGTATTAAATTTTTTATTATAAGTTATTATTCATTCCATCAGTATTAATTTCTTTTCTTCCTTGAGGAAAAGAGCTGAATTTTTTGTTGAAAGTTGTAAATGTTTCAGCATAGGTAGGTTTTCATGCCTTTTAAAGCTCAAACCCTGGTTTTTTCATTTTCCAGAATGCTGAAAACGCGCAGAAGAAAAAAGAAGAGCTGGGTGAACTGCAAGCTGCCAAGCGACCTGTGCTTAGACCTCTGTACCCTAACATGCCGGTCCTGAGGCCTATGGTACGCAAGAAAGTCAAAGATCCGGCTGTGAGCCCTCCAAAAACTACTGATAAAGAAAAGATCCAATTATCCACGCGGTTTAGTGCTTCATTGAGTTTATCTGCCAAGCAGCCCGAACGAACAGAAGCCCAGGTCCCGCGGACATCCATCTCAAGTGAAGTTCAGCCTCCGGAGAGCGTGAACAAGTCAGAACCGAGCTGTTCAACCCAGAGGTTTCAAAAGTTGGTGCCGAACCCTCAGTCCACGTGCAATAATGTTAGTAATTTCGTCGTTCAAGATTCGCAGGTAAGCTCATTTGCATTTGCTTTCTGTCTGTTATTTATTAATTGTGACTATCCACAAGAAAAGAGACTAAGTATATGGCATGGAGTGAATTTTCCAGTCCCGAAATTTTTTCCAAATCAGGTTGCCAAATTCAAATTCAAGTTTTTTACAAGGAACTTTCCAATATTTGAAAGATTTAGTTAAAAGCTTTCTGTTCATTTTTTTCGAATTAAGAATGGGCTGTTGTATCCTAATTGACCAATGAATTGTTTTAAATGAAACATTCGGAAATATCAGATGAACTGAGCTTACATTAGTTTCGTTACTATTTTTTGATGATAGAACTGGAGGAAAAATTAATCCCAATAAATCAAATGCAATAAATCAGGAAAGCTTTAGAAGGGGCTTCACTTTTGTCTCACATATCTGATAAGTCATGGCAAGTAAGCAAGATGGCAACAGAGTCGTATTTAAGTAAAGGAATGCGCTGCAGTGCAATGGTGTGTTGTGAGGTTTAGTAATGCAATGAGCTTAGTACTGCCAACACCGTTTGCTTATGTAACTTCCCAGTTTTGCAGCACGAGGAGTACCAGTTAAATGTGTATGGATGCTCCCACTAAAGCGAGCATGATTTCTCAGCAAAGACAATGTTTTGAAAGCTTCTCTCATTGTTTTCATGCTCAATCCTGTCGGAAGCAATCATTTCCAAGCGAATTCCTCCCAAGCTACACTGACTCAAGTATAGTTTGAAGCACAACAGTTTGTAACTTCTAATAGCTTTTTTTCAGGATAGCTTTTTTTTAAGTGTATGAAGTCTTCAAAACACTGAGACAGGTTAGAGTAATCTCTTCTTTGGAATTGTTTAATTACCTGTTTTTCTTTACTTTTATTTATGGAAGTTATCTGTGGTGTCTTTCAGGTTCTAGATAAACCGGGAACAAGTCGGACAAGAAATCAAACAACGGGAGGTGTTTTTCCTCAGCCAGAACGGCGAGCTCCTACTAGCAGAAGAATCCGCCCATGCACTTGTGCCGGCAAGTCTCAGATCTGCAATGGGTGTATGACTCGGAGAGCGCCCAATGCAGCCCGCGCTGGCACACCTGGGTTTAGACCACCTGAGGTATTGCTCAAATACCCACACCAAACGACAGGTAAGAAAAATTCATAATCATTCTCAATTTCAGGCTGTTAAACTTTCCGAGTCTGATGGGATTTATATGTTTGAATTCTTCGGAATCCCCTTATACAATTTTGCATGAAAGCAAAGGCCTCTTATAGTGTATTTCTGAAGGAAAATATCCATTTTTCCAACCCAGCCCTCTCTGTAGAAAGAGACTAATTTGATGATTTGCCTTTCTGTAATGTTACAGCTGTAGATATTTGGTCTGCTGGTGTAATTTTAATTAGTATACTCAGTGGCTGCTCGCCATTTTTCCGCGCTCTGGATGACATAACTGCTCTTGCTGAAATTATAACTGTTTTTGGAACTGATAACGTCAAAACTGCTGCTGCCAAATTAGGTAAGCTCAATTTTATCTTACTTCCAGGGGTTCTAGCAACAATATGTTTTGGGTTTTGATGATTTTTAATCGTTAACTTCCTTTTGATAGCTAATTGTGAAAAATGCATATCACAAGTGCAATTTAAAAGAATATCTGATCTTTTTTCGTTTTCCTCAAGGAAAATCAAGGAACACACTATGATTTTTTTAAATGATCTCAGAAACTTTCGATCAAAACTGTTTGTCTCTTCTCCTACAAGAAAATAAAACATTAGGGCATTTTCGACTTTAGCTATTGATATGTTGTAGCCGTTGATATATTTCTAAAAAAAAAAATTGAGAAAAACCTATGCATTTTAAATTTTTAGTATAAAAAATTTCTGTTTCCATTCTTTTTTTGTTCTTTTTCTGAAGGTAGCACTAAGTCGTTCTGCTACATCTGTGGCGGTCTACTTAGAATCTTTTTTCCAACACAGGCACTCTCTGTGTATAGACTTTTTTTAAGACACTTTGACTCATTTTAGAATCGCAATAAATTAAGGACATTTTTTAGAGTGTTCTTTGCAGTCATACATAGGTTAAGTTCAGTCGGCTGATTGTAGAATTTGATAGACAAAGAAGACAAAAGAAAAATAAAGTGATTGTATCGGTTGAAACAAGTGGTTGTTATAGACTAGAGGAGAAAATTATGGACTAACTGTAGTCTCTCATAGGTTGCCTTCAGTCAATCTGCTACCTACCTCCTTTGTCCATTACAATAACCTGCTTTCACTAGAAGGATCACTTCATTTTCTATTTGTCTTCTTTGTCTATCATTTTCAACACTCAACCTGCAACTTACCATTCAAAGATGTCTTATTATGCAATGACCCTTTTTAGGAATTGAGATCTTTTAAGAAAAAAGTGTTGGATCGCTGTAATAAGTCTGTATTTCTTGTCCCCCTACCGCGAATAGCTTTCCTAATTTCTTATTTGTCGTGTCTTTGTATAATTTTAGGAATAACTGTTCTCTGCAATGAGAATCGCAAGCCGTACAACCTGAAATCAATGTGTGAGAAATTACGAGAGAGGAAGTTCGAGCACTCAAGGCTGGCAGATGATTCGTGGAAGCAGTTCCCCGTTTGTCTTGGTTGCAACAACCACCGACATCCAGAATTTGGTTGCTCGTGCGCAAGAGGAGAACTGCTTGGAATCAAATTCCCAGATGAAGCCTATGATCTCTTGAAGAAACTATTAGAAATCAACCCTAAGGAAAGAATTACCGCAGCTGATGCTTTGAATCATCCCTTTTTCAGTATGGAACTGTAAGCGCACATTTTTTCTCTCCATTTTCTTCTTTATTGTGGATAACTAAATTGTTTTCTTTTATTACCATGTTTAAGTGAATCCTAAGAGCTTACTGCCGAATAGTCTTTATTTCTTACGTTTAAAAGAAGTAGCTCATTATTGTGCACTGAGCATTTTTTTTTTTTAGGTACATACTTCTTAAAATTAAGAAATCTTGTGAGTTTAAAACTTGTTATTTTGTTAAATCAAATTTTCAAATTTATTTCTTTAAAATTTAAATCAATTTTTAACTATCTTAGTTTCCTTGTTAGTTGTCAAAGTATTAGAGTAGGCAATATTTTGTTTATACTTATTAGCATTTCAGGTTAAGTTTCTTTTTTCATTTTCCTGGAAGAGGGATGCTTTTTTTCAATGCGTACTTATTTTAGAAGTGATTTTTCTTTTTTCTCAGAAATTTTTATCTTAGGTTCAGGGATAACTTTAAAAGTAGCAAACTTTTATTTCGAATGAAACATGTTTTTTTCACCATCCCTTTTTCCCAGAAAAATCGACAAATTCTGTTTTTCTTCTTTTTCTGATTATTCTTCTCTCTTAGTTCCAATTCTTCATGTTCTAACTTGCACTATGAAGCTGCACCCAGACGGTCTGGTATTATTTTAAAGATGTAGAAAATTTGTTTCCGATTTGAATTTACAACTAAATTCAAGTCAGAATCTGTTATCGTTGATAATTTAGAAAATTTAGTAATTTTGTCCCTTGACCTTCAAAATTTGTCCAAAATTAAGACAGTTTAAATAATTAATGATTAACAATATAATTAGTGGATGTTAGTCTCGTCGATTTTATTACTTTTCTAATAAAAATGTTAAATTTATCTCAAGCTCTTTCGGTAGTTGAGTTTTTGCAGGTAATTGGGTAGCTATTAATTACTTAAGTTTTGCATGATGATCGTAGTTTCAATTTAAACACTGATTATTTAAATAATCCAATGTTGATAATCCTTCTCTGATGAGTATGGAGCTTATTTAGGAAAGCTCTGGAAAATTTATAAATTTAAGGGATTTTTTCATAGAAAAAACAAATGAACAAGAAAAAAAGTTTGTTATATGTCTAATATATTTATGTACAATTTGCATTTTAACTTTATAACTTTTGATTCATATAGGTATTTACCCTGAAGGAGCTATTCAGGCATGGTCTAAATCTAGACTTTTGACTTGTTTTATTGGTTTAATTTTTATAGCGTGTATCAAGAAAGTTTCTAAGTATGTCAATCGCACCATGTTCTCTGTAAAATTATTACTTTTACTTAATATTTTAAGTTCCTCACCAAATGTTTTATGGTGAAAGGAGATCATCTCGAGGGTTTTGACATTGGTCAAATGGGGATTTAATGTATCCCATTTGCAGGTTTAGACATTCTTGAAAAATGTTGCACATGTCAAAAGAATCATTTGCCTGGAATTTTGAATTGGAAGATTTGACTGCTTAGCATAAAATTAGATGTTGAATAACATCCTTGAATTCTCAGCTCTGAAAATCTAGTGTTAATTAATCTTGTTTCACTTTTTTAAATTTTTGTAGGGACTGGAAACTAGTGGTTTCCCCATCCTAGTGATTTTTGCTCGCATAATTTGCCTACCATCATAGAATCGTCATTGAATCGTGTTTTGATGTTTTCGGACTTTAGTTCAGTAGTTACAAACAAGACCTGTCCAAACACTCAATTTTCCTGTTCAACATTAATGGAGATATTGCCCTTCAAAAAACTTTGTATATATCATCCACCGCAATTTTTTCCACTGTGGTTTCATCTGTGTTTTTAGTCAAGCATTCAATGTAAATGTTTGCATCCTCAATCGATGTAGCCGATGTTGAAGTAACCATAGTATGTGCTGCCGCTGTCGATGGCCTCATACAAGTGTTTTTCAAAGGGTGATATCTTCATTAATGATGGACGCAAAAACTAGGCGTTAAGATAGATCTTATTACTCTCTGCCACAATGTGCTTCAACCGTCAAAATGCGATTTTATGACTAGGGCAACTGACTGCATATAGTCAAGAGCCAAAGTGATTGATGGATGAGAGGTGATGCTCTTCTTATATAGTCTTTGTTGGTGTGATTGGACGCAAATAGAACTTGTAGAGATCCAGTTTCCATTTCAATGTAAATCTTCCTCTATTTACTTGACGATACCAAAATATTTTCGACTGAGTCAAGCTCTACAAGCCACTATAGTTTGAAGCTGACCTGTCCGTCAGTCCAATCAAAGTTTTAGGATAGGCTCTTAAGTTACATATCATGAATTTTTTAAGATCATTAAAAATGAGACTATAAAAAACTACATTATATTTAGGTTTTTCATTTATTCTAAATTCTCTCTAAAGTACTACATTTTGCTCATTTGTTTTTAAGTAATGGAATGGTAGGAATTTGTTTTACTTTTCTTGTTCCTTGGTTCTAAAGACTCAGCTCATTCTGTCTAAGTTACTAATCCAAAGTAGACGTGATCATTATTTCTTATGTGTATAATTAGGGGTTTAAAATTGCCTAGCATTGGGGAAGGAGTGATAGGCGTTTCCTACGAAGTGAGGTATCACACTTGAATCAGATGCTTATTGAGAAACAATTATTTCATCAAAAGTAGGTTGAAATTTTAACTCCGGTTTTTCAACTCAGTGACCTTCTTACTTTTTCTCATTCTCTTCTTGCCAAGTTTAAAAAGTTCGTCTTCGTGTGAATTCACAGTGAGCAGTTCATAATTAAAGAAATGAAATACATCTTATGAGGATACTGGTTTCAATAAATTTTTCTGCAAAACATAGGTTTTAATCTGCTTCTGAAAAATCTGATTTGAAATCAGACGGTTAGAGAAAAATCCATGGCAACTTAAAACATTGTATCTGGAAGTGTAAAATAAAAAAATTGATTCTACTCTCGAATATTTATAGCTTGGATTTCAAGGTTTTTGTGAAAGATTTTCCAAAGTAAATATATTAAATATTCTTCCAATCATAAGATGCTTGGTTTTTGCTGAAAACTGAAGGCAAGAAATGCTCAAGTTTATGTTTTTTGTGTGATTTACCTGAACATGATTATTTCAACTTGCCGGATCAAAAATTGTCTCTTCAACTTCACGACTGATTGATCCACACTGTCAATCTGATTGACATGCTGCCACTTTTCTTTTACAAACTTTTTTTTAAGGTGCGTTCAATCATTGTATATCTTGTAGTTTACCTTACCTCCTTCTCCTCTGCTTCGCTAAACTAGGTACTTCTGACATTGCTCAATGATCTCAATGTACAAAAAAACTGAATTTATGGAATAATTATCATTATCATTATTAGCAAGTTACTGAGTGTCAAAAATTTAATGTATGTTGCTGCCATTAGCTGTAAATCTCTCAAAATGTGTCCCCTTGTTTTCTACTGTGGTTTCTAATAAATGTGCTGTTCCTATGATTAGATATTTGTTCATTCCATCTTGTATGAACCTAATTGGCCCTGTGGCAATCCAAGTATTACATTAATCACTTGTGAAGGGGGTCTGAGCGTGTGTCACCAAGTCTTACGAGAGAAATGGGGGTCAAGCCCAGGGTGGCTTGTAACAAAAGAAATCTAATAAAGATGAGAAATTTCCATGAGGTACATAGTTCATGAAATTTCAAGAAGCTGTGAAACTTTTGAAAAAATGAAACCTTCATTTCAAAGGCGAGGTATGCTACCTGCACCATAAAAACCAAACAATACAAAATATTCAACATTTCTTCCTTTCACTATCAATTTTCTTTCCTTTTCTCGCACCGGAAACTAGAGTATCAAAACGAATAAAACAATGTCTTGCAACAATTTGTCGCACCTCTGACGTAGGGGCGTATCTCTATCTCCACTTGAGCCCCAGAAGTTGTAGAGGTATGCGGAGCACGGGGCTCACGTAAAAAAATAGATAGGCCCTTATGCCAGAGGAGCGACGAATTTTGGCAGCGTTTTGATCATTTATTTAGCGGGAGCCGATAGTCTACCGAAAGATGCCCGGGTCCGGGTTGTAAGGGTCTGGAAAACCTGGGATAGTTAGGAAATTTGATAACCACCTGGAAGGTCAGGGAAATTCTCAGAGCTGCAGCTCAACAGTGAAAATCTATCCCTCTAGAATCCTGAACATATTTTCCTTCGTAAATTACTCTTAATGAAAATGTTTTCTTTCTTATTCTGCTGCGCCAAGGGAAAACGCCGCACTGGAAAAAAAAATACATTGGACCCAGAGTCCAGACTCTTAAAAACATCGACAAGAAAAAGTACACTTGATTCAATCAAAATCTAGCTTAAATCAAGAACCAAGCCTCTTAATTTAAAGCGAATTTCGTTTTGATTCAAGCAAAAATCCGATTGAATTAAGAGTATTTTTTCTTGTCAATGTTTTCAAGAGTCTGGACTCTAGATCCAATGTGTTATTTTTCCAGTGCGTATGAACCATCAGGCGTTGCCAAATTTCGATTGATAAAACACGAATTTCCTGATAATCTTATGAATATTTTTCTTCCAATTTTTTATCTAATATTGTTCACAATTTCACCTAAAGTTCCTGAAAATTTCAAGGAAAAATACTCATAACTTTCCTCAGAAATTAACATTTTACTGGAGCAAGTTTGGCAACTCTCGATTGTGTATACGGCGTTCTTCCTTAGCACGGCGTCATTGTAAAGTATTATTATTATTGATTTCTCCAATTATTCTGTCGATATATTATTCATTTTTTATATTCCATCTCTTTTCATCGCGTAAAAAATTGCTTTTGGCTATCGGTAGAATACAGTCCTCAGATGAGCGCACTCTGAGTCCACCTATAAATTAACCCACGTGAGATGCGCGAAGCGGGTTCATCTGCGAAACGGGTTGATCCGCGTAGCGACCAGAGGGCGTACCCCCTAGTTTTTGAGTACTAATGTCAGGGCCAAATTCACCTACTTCCCGCCTATATTTTTCCGCCCCCTTCTCATTCGTTTTGAAACTCGATAAAAACCATCAAGTGAACGTGCCGGAGGGGTAGGGGTGCATAAGACGCATTTACTCGTGTTGAACACATTTTTTGGGAAAGCCCTGTCAATACTACTAGCAAAAGTTCACGAAACTTTGCGCGAAAGTTAAGTTCCGTAAACCTACCTCTGAGTGGACAAGGCCTTCCATTCATAAGAAATGAACGAAAAAATTATGAGAGAACAAACATAAATGTGGTTCTATGATTTTAACTTCCGCCGCCGCAAGCGCCGCGCAGACCGAACCGTGTTGGAAGCAGTGCGTGAAGTATTCACGCAGTCTTGTAGGCGCTATGCGTTTCACGCTGACCGCACTGTGTTTGGTGGAATGCGTGGAGTATTCATGCATTCTTGTAGGCGCTATCCGTTTCACGCTGACCGCAATGACAGCACTGTGTTTGATGCAATGCGTGAAGTATTCGTGCAGTCTTGTAGGCGCTAATATGTGTTACATGCCGATCGCCGCACCGAGGGCTTCTCCATTTCATCTCAAGTCCTCGTTATCATTTCTCTCTAAGTCGCGCCGTTCTAGGCCAAATTGCGTGTTTGGTTTCTCTCGTAACTCAACTTATTGAGGGTGCCGGTGCTGTCTCTTGTATCACTAAGAGACGACAAAATTATAGAAATTACTATACTCTCAGGGAATGAGATATTTTGTCGCTTTTCTCGTTTGTAATTTTGTTTTTATAAATCCGATTTTTTTTTATACCTACACTTTAAAAAATTGTAAATTTTTGCCGCCCCTTAGATTTGCCGCCATAGGCCGCGGCCCATGTGGCCACCCCCTTAATCCGGCCCTGACTAATGTCTCTGAGTCAAGCAAATCGTGTTTGTCAGTGCGCCTACTTTTCTTGTGTTGCGTAAAAGTCTCTCTTTCCTGCATTTTGCCGCTTGGCGATCCCTCGTGTGGTTCAGAATGATCAAATTTTTAAAAACCTAATAACGGATCCAGAAAATTGGCAACGTTGTCTTTTCTCCCTTTAAACTTATATAAATGTATCGATTCTTGGAGGGGCCAAGTGCTCCGACAAGAATCAATTACTTAACATAGGTTTAAATGGAGAATTCTATGTTGCCAAATTGCTGGATCCGCTTCTGATAATGCCTCTCCGCTTCAAGCAACTCGTTTTTGTCGGTACGCCTACTTTTCTTCCGCTGCGTTAAAGTCTCTGAAGTGATTCCTACATTTTGATCAGATTATATACAATACTTCGGTCAAAATTAAAGCTAGTTAGAGTAACCTAAATTAAAAAGTACCATTAATTTTTTCCTCGGATTATTGGTTCGCGAAGAAATCAACAGGATATTGTACTAGACGTATATTTTCAAGAATTGACCCTTGTTTTATATATTGGAATCGGCACTTTACTCAGGTTGTTTGATAAATATCTCACCGTGTAGGTAATCTTCCATCTCTTATTGGGCTGGAGCAATAACTTTGTAAGTATTTGGCAAAGTTTCTGTTAAACAAGGGGTAGAAGTACTTTCTGAGGAAAAACTGTCCTAATCACGTAAAATTACACGAGATGGTTTGTACGTGCACAGATTTTCAGATTGTTTACGTCACGCATTTGTGCTTTACCAGTACCTAACTTTGATTGGCGAAAAACGCGAATTGCAATGAGTGCGACTCGTTATGCCTGCGAATGTGGCAAAGTTGCGAAAGAGCGAAGGATTTCTAAGAACTTTTCCGAGAAAACTGTGCTAATCACGTATAAAACACGCAAAAAGTTGCGTCTGTGGACGAGGGCCGGAACTAATGGGGTGGCCACATGGGCTGCGGCCCATGGCGGCAAATGTAGGAGGCAGCAAATTTTGCAATCTTTTTGAATGAAGGTACCTATCAAAAAAAGAGGGAAAAATCGGATTGAGAAAATAAATTACAAACGAGAAGAGGCAACACAATCTCTCATTTCCTGAGAGTGAAAGCATAGTAATTTCTAATTTTGTCATCTTTCGGTGATACAAGAGTCAACATCTTTAATTAGTCGAGTTAAGAGAGAATCCAAACACGCATACAATTTGACCTGGAACGGAGCGGTGCGGCGGTCGGCATGAAACGCATAGCGCCTACAAGACTGCATGAATACTTCAAGCATTGCGCCAAACAGTGTGGTCACTGACGCGACTTTCACGACGGCGAGAGATACAACAATTCATGCTTAACGGATATCTGTGCTGCATCTGCATAAACTGAAGGCGCGATATGGCGCGAGACGTGAACTCGCAATGCTCCGCTAAGCTACCTATGAATTCAAGGTCGCTCATATATTCGGGAGAAGTGAAAAAACAATCAATTATGAAAGATAAAAAGTCCATTCTTGTCACGCAAAGTTTCCACGCAGTGGTGTTTTTTTTTTTTTTTTTTTAAAGAAAGTCTTAACAAGTTTCACCACAAACAAAATTACATTGTCGTGAATGCAATTTTAACTTCTGTGGTTAGGTAATTATTTTTGTAGCGTAATAAGACAACTTTTTCTGCATAACCAGAAACTGCCAGGGAAAGCTGAGTTTCTATAATAATATGTGACCGTCTACAAGAAAAGAGACATTATCGTCCACAATAGCTGGCGAATTGAGCTATGTATCGGTACCGGAAAACAGATGAACGTTCTAAAATCATTTTGTCGGTGTAAGTCCGCAACCATGTATCCCGTTTGCGGTGTTTCAAAGTCTCCACCCCTATTTTATTTTATTAAAAGAAAACAAAGCGACATTATTCCTTGAAGTTTTCGCAAATTTTTCTTCACCTAGAAAAAAAATCAAGGCAGTTTTTAAGAATTTCCGTTGAGTACTTTTTCATTTAAAAAATAAAGTATGATAGGAAGTCTGCAACTTCACAAACCTAGACACGTAGTTGCGGACTTACACAGTCAATTTTGGATAAATAACTTGTAAAACTTTCAAACCAAACCAAAGTTTTCACGGTTCTACGTTTGCAATATTCGTCACCTTCCGGCCAAAGTATTACAAGTGCCATACGATATTTAAAATTTTCCGCCGCCATTTTATTTTTTTACAGAGAAATTTTTCGACGAAGCTGTCCGAGTTTGTCACTGAATTTTCTCTGTGCTGCCGATAAAATTCAGTGACACCTTCAAACAGATTCAACCAAAAATTTCTCTGTAAAAAAATAAAATTGCGGCGGAAATTTTTAAACGCCGCTTGGCGCTTGCGATTCTTTGGCCGGAATGCGACATATCACCGTGCGTGGCGCCACGAGCCATGGCTGAATGAAATGTTATCATAAAGAATAACAGGATCTAGTCATCTTCCGGCCAAAGTATCGCAAGCTCCATGCGACGTTTACAAATGTTCGCCGTCATTTTACTTTTTTACATAGAAATCGTTCAACGAAGCTATCCGAAAATTTCAATGAATTTTTCACTGAAATTTTACTAAAAGGGGAATAGAGCGAGGCAAAGGACGCGC